GGGCATTAAAATGGCTTAAACTTTTGTGGAATGCATTGTGATCTTCAACTTGAATGGACATTCTTTATTCCTTATCTGAAATTTTGTTTAGCCAATTTTCATTGCAAATTCCATGAGGGATTTTAATATCCACGTTTAGCCAATTTACAATTTCGCACTTCCTCCGCTGCCACGGAGAATCGCATTCGGCGGCGACTTTCCCATGGAACGCAGGAAATCCCAGAAGCTCCGGAGGATCCTAACGACTTTGGTGGGCGGCGGTGGGGGGAGTGGGGGGGCGAGACAAAACAAACAAAACCCAAAAATGTTTTAAAACGTATGCACCACACTGCAGCCAGAGGACATAACCTGCAATCTGTAACCAAGGCGGTTTTAATTTGAACAGTTTTACTGCTGTGCCTGAGAGCAGTAGTTGGTCGTTGGTGGTGGTGGGGCAGTTGCTGGGTGGGTTTGTAGGTGGTTGGGTTGAGGGAGCAGGGGCGTTGAGGGAGTTCTAATTTCCATGTCCTTCCCCTGGCCCCCCTCTCAGCCATATCAACAGATCAACCGTGCACCCCAGTCCCGCATTCTTTCACTCGTTGCCAAAAATGTGAGAAATCCGGAAGATACTTAGATCAACATAGGACGAAGGCATGTATCGAGTGGAGTTTTAACAACCACTGAAGTGACCTACCTACCTATTTCATTTTTAAAGCTGCTCATAATTTCACAATTTCTGAAAATAATAATACTTTGCATTTTTGAATTAATAAAATAATAATAATAAAATGTTTCTCTGTGATTACTACCTCAGGTTTATCGTTGCTGGGCTTTGGAATCATTATTTATTAGCAATGAACACGAAAAAATACACTCACAAGTGTCTCCCCGCTCGGATGAGAATTGGAACAGCGCTCATCGTTGTTGGTGGACTTGGATCTGAAGTGGAAATTCCACATTCCTTTTGAAGGACGTTCACCTCGAAGGCATGTCGTTAAAGTCAATCGACACCTGACCAGCAATTGAACTCACATACTTCCTATTGTGAGTTGGACGCTATCGTCATGGAGCCACCTGGCTGGCTTCTTCATAATTGGCAAAAACAAAACCAAAAACAGCCAGCAAATGGAATACGTCAGAGACGACGTGCATCCAGGAGATGGGGCAAAGACGTCTGTTTTTGTGCAAGTGCTGGGTCGATTATAACACTGGTCAACACACTTTTTCTGGCATAAGGTATTCCAATGGTGTTAAGGTAATTTTGGGGTGCCAAATCTGGAATCAGTTTTTGTCTATCACATCAGGTTTTTGAGATATCAAATATTGCATTTTCAATCAAAACTGCAGAAGAAAAATATTTAAAAAATGTGGATATCTACATAAAATTATATTATAAACACACTATCCTAAAAATACAGCACCATATTTTAACACTAAAGCAGTCACTGACTCGCAACAACTTGCAAGTGACAGAGCTAATTTCGGGTAAAATCAATGAAAATGGGGTATGCCGATAGCATAAAATGAGATGTGATAGAGCAAATCTGAGATCAGTTTTGGAATTAGCACCCTGAAATTAGTCTAAAACAGCTGCAACAGTCCAGGCCAGAAGAAAATGCTTTTTTTTGTTGACCAGTATATAATTAACATCACAGGATCGTGCGAGGTGGCTGTGGAAGGCCTCCGTCCAGCAGAAGATTGACCATGGCTGATGGTGATGATTAAAGCAATTGCACAGCGCGGCAAACAGTAACGGAGCACTTTTACCACCTTTAAGTCATTCCCTCCGATGTGTTTTACTCGCCGTGTGTGTTTAAGGCTCGCAGACCTTACCCAAACATGTGAAGGCATAGCCAAACACCTCTGACCCTCAAAAGGCGTTGGCTAGGAGCACGTTGGTCCGTTCTTGAACGTGAGTCAGGGCACCCGACCTCTCTAACGGTACCTGTCATGGACCCTCCTCGTGAAACGATCTTGGGACTCTCTAAGCCTCCCGGGGAGGCCCCTTGCTGCCAGTTTTATTACGCAGTTTGTTAGCATGACCTTTGGCCTCTACGCTCCTGCCAGCTGTTTACGTTTAAATATGCTACGGATATCATTGCTGGTAAAATTCGCAGTATAAAAATAATAATATTATTTCCCTTTACGTGATTTTTAGGTGATGCGATATTGACTCTCACTGTTTTTTTTTGCTTAATCCAGCCAGGTCGCGGATGTGATTTAAAATATTCAACTCACAAGCAGAAGATTGTGAGTGAGAATAATGCTTGGTGTTAGTCTTGGTGTTCGCCTATCATCCCTCCAGGATCGATAAAGCGAGTACAACTTTGTGGTAAACAAGAACGATGTTTTATTTTTATTTTCTATGAACAGACTGCGCACACCATGGGAATGAGGGACGTTTTATCAGTGGCGTAGAGTTCGCAGTTAACTGAGCAGAGCCCCATTGTTGTTTGAAATATATTTGTATATTTAGAACTTGGAATAAGGGACGATGGGAGGGGATTCCCAAGTCCAGCAGGGTGAGGGAAGGCGCACAGTTAGAAGTGTTTTGTCCTGTAGTGTGGAGAGTGAGTGGGTGAGAGTGAGTAGCCGTCCATAAATGACGTCACGCAATTTTGGACGATATTTGACCCCCCCCCCACCTCGTCACACGGCGTCACAAAAAGTCAGACCCCCTCCTCAAGTATGACGTCACAAAGCTCTGCCCCCCCCCCCCCCCAAAAAAAAAATGCTTCAAATCGCTTTAAACTATTGTCATTGTAGTGCGTATTTAATGTGGCGCTGCACTCTGATGTTGTAGGAGAAAACATTTATAAAAAAAAGTCTATTTAATTAAGTAGAACGTGTTGTCTATATTTATTTAAATTTGCGCATTTTGATGTGACGTCACATTTCTCAACCCCCCCCCGTCACACATTGTTACAAATGTCTGACAGCCCTCCCCCCTAGGTGCATGACGTCATTTATGGACGGCCCCTGAATGAATGGGAGAGTGAGTGAATGGGCGAGTGGGTGAGTTAATGTTCTGTTCTGACCTGCCGTGTGGTGGTGGATGAAACGACAACAGTTAGTCTGGTAGACCGAATCCTCAACACGAGTGAAGCATCAAAGGGTGAGTTCACGAGAACAGCAGCCAGGGTAGCAGCGATATGGAAGAGTGATGAGGGGGCGATTGACTGCCGGTGAGCGAATAACTGCGGTGAATGAATGAGTGCTGGATCAACCCACTAATTGGGATGGAAGTCTTCGAGACAAACTGGCCCCTACCATACGAATGTGAACTCTGCATCCCGAGTTGAGAATTTGTGATGGATCAGACTTGTACCACATGCGTGATTGAGAAAACAAAGGATACGCAGGAATAGAGAGTGTTTGTGTGTGTGAGAATGTGGGACTGAGAGAGAGAATTATTGACACTCTTATTTGGCAACTCGCCATATGTAGTGCTCCCTTAATAAAGAGCACCATTCTCTTACATCAAGTGACTAATACCGTTGAAAATGAATTCAAGCTCTATATCAGCACTGATGTTGCCTCAAGTGCCAGGCGCTATAATTGTTGTTAAATGAGAGCTGGACACATATCAACGTTTTTCTCTCTCGCAAGGGTACAAGCAGCGGTGTACAGTCGTGGTCTGCATGCAATGTGAGATGTTGAGTCTGGAGGCAGGAACATTGTTGGTGCTTAGAAGTGTTCTTGTTGAAGGCAGAATATGTCACGTACATCTTCTTGGTTCTTTCGGTAAAGTCACGTAGAATGGAAATAATAAAACAGTAAAAATAAAACATAATAAAATAATTCTCACGACGTTTCGGCCACAACGCAAGCAGCCGTCCTCAGGTGAAGACCATGTCTGTCGAGAAGACAGAGTTCACCTGAGGACGGCTGCTTGCGTTGTGGCCGAAACGTCGTGAGAATTATTTTATTATGTTTTATTTTTATTATTTTATTACTTCCATTCTACGTGACTTTACCGAAAGAACCAAGAAGATGAATCCCTGCAGTCACGAAAGCTTTAAATCGAAATATCACGTAAATGTTTCACTTTTTACTCTTGTGGCTTTAAAGCATTATACCCGCGTGTGTGTCTGAGACGGGAAGTGGCGGCCTGGCACGTGGCCTGCAATCCAACGCTGTGGAGGCAGTGAGAGTTGGCGGATCACTGCGCTAATGTTGCGAAGCCCCTGTCACGCGGGCATTGAGGTGCCATGCTTTGATTCGCCAAGAAATGGCGGTATGGCAAATGTGGATCACACCTGTTCCATCTGCATGGGATTGAGTGTTACCCCCATCACACACTTTGGTTTTGCTTTAATCCAGATATTTAAATTTCCCCCCTATAAAATACTGAAAATGTTAAATGTTGAACTTCTTTCACACCACATGTATCCTACCGTGCTAATCGGATATTTGACGTTCACATTTCCACCCTTAACCAATTAACCGCCCACACCCTCTGCAGCACGTGTCCACGGTGTGACTGGCACTTTTCATAGATGTTCACATATCCGAACTTGTCACATCACTGCCTCGACCTAATTGCCTGGTGAGTCGAATATGTGACATACTGGAATCGGAAGGTCACGATTTATTTCCATGAGAAGTTCTCTCGGTCGATGAGTTGATTAAATATGTACCACTTTGTCATCATCCTACGATACTTGCCCATTGCCATGGGAATGTGGAATTTCCACCATTTAGACACTGGGCTGCCAACAGAGATCACGCCGCCGTCCCATCGCTTGTTTGCGCAGTGAGACACTTGGATGTGCGTCATGTTCTGGGTCAAGGTTACACACGGCACTCCGTCTGTTGCGTGTTCGGGCTGAGTCACGGGTTTGTCCGCTGGCATGAGGGGATGCATCGTGCCGAGCAAACCGCACGACACGAACCAAAAACGCGCCGGAGAGTTTCCGGGCACATGCGGCAAAAAACCCTCTGAAGCCGGCTTCCATGTGAGATGTCGAGCGAATGGTTTCGTAGCGTTGACTACGTTTTCTGCGTCTGTTTCTTTGCAGCCGGAGAGCCCGAAGGCAGCCGCAAATCGACCAAACAGCGCTGTGAGTACACGACAAGACTTTTCTCGAGCAGGCTATTTTTTATCCTCGTGGTTGTGCTCTCGGGGCTCCGTCGTGGACAGGACAGCGCAGTGCAGCAACATTCCACTGTTGTACTGCACTATGCTTCCATTTCGTCTATGTTCCGCGCCTTCACCGACCAGCACCGGTCAGCGTGGTGAAGTATGGTCAAATCAACCCCTACGACCAGTACGGCATGGGGTGGGGGGAGGCCCTCATCCAGCAGTCGATTGGCCAAAGGGTTTATTTCATGAGGTAGATGGAAGGTCCTTCCTGAACGATCGCATTCACTGGAGCATCAAACCACTGCAGGGAAATGTCCTTGGTATACGACGCCACTGATACATTTTGGATTTTCATGAGCATCTAAATGCACCCATATCAGGATTCATATAATGTTGTCGTTTTCTAGTAAAGGCAAGTCATTCGCCTTCGTCACGAAACACTAGTTAGTGCTCTTTCATGCACCGTAAACGAGTGAACCTGAGCCAATGATGTCAATTCCACATTACCATGGCGAGGATCACTCTCTATATTATGGCCACTGTTGACTTCCCATAATGTGGTGCTCGTGTTATTGACCCCAGAGTGATGACAGCAGAGAAAGGCTTTCTTCGATTAGCCAAATCATCGATTACCCTGCCGATTATTGGTTTGATTACTCGGCCAATTGGATATCACAGAAACAGTCTCCGGCCTCTCAGTCGCTGGACGGGAGGTGATGGGCAGGGCTTGGTGATGTTGTCAAAATCATCAGCCATATCACTCTGGGCGTAGCGTGTAGGGGGTTTCCTGCCTTTCGGGAGGCATGACGGTGGCAGCAGCCTTTCTTTTTAAAGGGGCCCCAGTTAATTAAACAACATAACAAAACATAGGATAATTTTTAGTTGATTAATCCGTCTAATCTGGTTTCCCCCCACGTGCAAAACACTCATTAAGAATAACTGGGAAAACGTTCCCAGGCATCCTTGTGAATAAAAGAGTCCTGAAACCCAATCGGTACCCTTTGAAGGCTTTTCCGTAAAATACGAATGTAAGTAAAAATCAATATTTGTCTAGCCATTTGCTTAAAAATGAAGACCATACATTGTTCTGAAATCAACACACTGTTGCAATTTTCATTTTCACAGGTGTCAGTGGCCAGCAGCACCTCTTATGAGCTGGACAGCAAAGTGGAGTGAGTATTTTTTTCCTCTGACGATTACATTCAGATGACTGAGATGCATGCGGTTATAACAGTTCACTCACAGTTAAGAGTTCAAATCCCAGTTGGGGATTGACTCAACCCATTATCTCTCTGAGGTTGGTAACACTTTGTGGAAATTACCAATTGGATGGTAGCCGTCGGCTGGGCAGGTCTAAGCAGTGGTAGAAATATCACATGAATCCTATGGCAGTGGTCCTTAGGTTTGTTGTCGTTTAATCTGCACAGAGTCGTACTCATTTTAGGCATCCCAGATGTAAGATTATAACGGGGCTAAGCGACCTCAAAGCTGGGTTCTAACTCACGACCTGCCGCTCATTAATCCGCCGCTCTTACCACAACACCACCTGGTTGGGTGAAAATAAAATCGCCTTTGAACTGCAGGTCAGTCACTATTGAATTCCACAAAATGCTCCTGACTTTAGTGGCTTCTGTGGATTTGAAATTGCAATGTTTGGATTGTGAATGTCAAACGCTATGAGCAAACCTCTACGTAGTCAAATATAATCTAATTTCCATGGAAACAAATTTTAACAGGAGCCTGGGATTGAACTTGGGATTTCATCGTTGCTAACTCTTATTTAGCCTCCAAGTGAGCATCGCTATTATCAGTCAATCCACTGCTGGCTGTAGGCATCTCCAAGCCTCTGTCACCTCGTGTGGTTCCGCCTTCTAACACTACACCTGGCACCTGTACACAAGCCGTTTGCATCGCTCCATTTCTCCACAGGATGTCCTCTTGGGCTCGTTTCCTCCATTGGCCGTCACTCCATTGTCAGCCTCCGCCACCGGCCATCATCTCTTCTAGCAACATGGCAGAAGGAGAAAGACGTATATATATCAGAGTAAACGCTCAATAACACGGTGGCCTTGAAATAAAAAAATATCCCTTCATAGCACCATTTATGTGTGACAAAGAAGGGCCATTGGTCAAAATGTAGTGCATATTATATCGCTTTCGTTTTATTCATTATTTGTGCTCGAGCACCAAACTGCCAATGCAGCAGCATCACCAAATGTATATCAGAGAACGTATGCAAGTCATCGGCATCGCTTTGGCTGTTTAATAAAAATAAGCAGGCACACGCATCTAATAATGATGATTTGCAAGCCAATGCCATTAAAAAAAAACATTTTTCTTTCACCAGATAAGGCCCACCGAGCTATGTAGCTCTTTTTCAGAGGCGACCTGAACACAAATGACAGCTCAACGAAATGTCTCATCATGTGGAAATTTATAGCAGACAAATTCTCTAAACGCATGTTTATAAATGTGAAGGGGAAAACCCGGAGGGCCTGGATAAAAATCCTAGCGACCATGGGGATAACATGCAAACTCCAAATATACAGCAGGTGTCAGGATCAGGATCAAACCCACGACCCCCTCCATCCCAGGCGAGGTAGTTAACCTCTCGCCACCGTTGCTGATGCCAATGCCGATACTGCAGCAGCTGCTGCTGCATAGCTGATTTAAAAGTGCATAAGCCCCAGTGGCTTGATCATTTGCAAGCCAATGCCATTTGCTGATGCCAATGCCGACGGTGGCCGCTGCTTGCTGTGTTATGCAGAGGGGGCGTGCGTGGGCTGGAGGCCTCGCCGGGCCACGAGTTGGACCTCACGTACGTGGCCGACCGCATCGTCGCCACGTGCGTGCCGGCCGGGGCGTCGGAGGCTGCGTCCCAGCGGGGCCTGCAAGAGATGGCTCGCCACCTCGCCTCCAAGCACGGGGGCAACTACCTGGTGAGGAGAAGCAACACACAGGGGCTGAGAGCCAGAGCAGATTGGATGGTAGGCAAAGGCGGGATCATATGCTTACTCATTCTGCTTCGTGTTCAACGTTTGTTTAACGTTTGTTGAACGTTGACTGTTATGCATGCCCCCCATCCCCTCCCCCTGACAAACTCAGGGCTCCCTGAACACTGAAAAATGTGTGAACTCATTGTACATGTCCTTATTTATCCGTAGTCTGTATAGCAGTATAATGATGAAAAGTGTTTCAGCCTTACTTGTTATCAGATTTTCTTAATCAACTGCAGTTTTGACAGCACAGCGTGTGCGTCTTTTAATTCCTAGGTTATTAACTTTTCTGGACCAAAGGAAGAGCTCACCAAGCTTCACCCTCAGGTATTGTTGAGATAACCTTGTGATGTTGTCATTATATTCATTGTATTATGAGTTGTAGGAAATGCAGTGGCAGTGCTACAGGCCCATTGAGAGCCCTCAGTCGTAATAATTTTTGGGCGTCTCCCCCTCAATCATCCCTTTGGATTTATAAACTCCAGGCGATGTGGCCGGAGAGATGTAGACACGAGATCGAGATCTAGTGAGCTGAGAGACATTTGGACAAAAGACCGGGGTTGTGATGAGAGACAACTTCAGTGAATCGAGAGACGTAGACAAGAGATAGAGACATCGTCTGATGAGAGAGGAAAGCTGAAAAAAAGGAGGAGATGAGAGTATTGAATCTTTTTTTGCATTGCGTGTTTATGACGATATAAATTCAGGATGATGTTTGGGGGATCCTTATTTTATTCATGAATATGTGGCCCCTGAAGCTGCTTGGGGCCCTACCATTTATCTTAGTTTGCTTCATGCCCAGCACCACCGCTGAGTGAATGGGCAGCTAAGGGACAGTATTTCTAGCTCAAATCAGCGGTGGCGATATTTTACTCGTGGACTATGGAAATGAATGTATTAAAGGAGAGAAAGCGATGCCAAGGTGTTATGGGAACAACAGTTTCTGGCTGTGATGTCCTTTTTGACTAACACTCCACAATCAGCAGAGTTTGCAGGTGTAAGTGGCAAAAAAAGATGTCACAGGAATCAGCCATTCTTCAACTTAATCATCATTTTCAGCCATGGTCAATCTACCGCTGAATAAAGGCCTCCCCAGCCTGCCACCACCTCTCACAGTCGCGCAATGCAACATTTCATAGACACGTTCAAATGAGCTGATTTCAGCACTCCATCTCGATAGTGGACGTCCTCTCTCTCAGATGCGTTCCATTTCTTGGCTGCGAACCTGTTATATTATTCTTCACCATTGGCCATTGTCACTTCTAGTCATGACGTATTCTCCTCAAGCTCACTTACAACTATGTTATTATTACACGCTTTTAATTAACTCACTCTGTCTGTTGTATCCTCAAATCTTCTAACTAAATTTTAACCCACTTCCCAATGTGGTATCGACTGCAAACTTGGTATACTTATGTCATACTGATGACAATACTAGATTATATCATTAAAAATAATAATAAAAATATTTCCAAACATTATTTTGTATATGTTATGTTTCGTCTTGGGTCTAACTGTCCACGCTAAACTGACGTTGGCTATAAATCAACACGGCCCCTTACGTTATGGCAAGCTTCGGGGCCTAATCCTGGAGTCGTGGAGTTCTTCCATTACTAGTACGGTACATTTCATTAAAGCGTGTTTACATTTTTAAAAAAATATTACTTATTACACACGACACCGACGACACTTCCTTGCGAGCAGGTGCTGGAGTTCTGCTGGCCTGGCTTGCACGCGCCCCAGCTCGACACCCTTTGCCGCGTCTGCAAGGCCATGGAGTCCTGGCTCGCCGCCCACCCAAGCCACGTCGTGGTGCTGCATTGCCAGGTGAGTGGGTCGTGCCCTGACCAGGGGTGTGACTGGCCCCGCATTGCCAGCTGAGTGGGTCACGTCCTGACTAGGGGGGTGACTTGTTCTGCATTGCCAGCTGAGTGGGTCATGTCCTGACTAGGGGGGTGACTGGCCCCGCATTGCCAGGTCAGTGGGTCACGTCATGACCAGGGGTGTGACTGGCCCTGCATTGCCAGCTGAGTGAGTCACGTCCTGACTAGGGGGGTGACTTGTTCTGCATTGCCAGGTCAGTGGGTCACGTCCTGACTAGAGGTGACTTGTTCTGCATTGCCAACTGAGTGGGTCACGTCCTGACTAGGGGGGTGACTTGTTCTGCATTGCCAGGTCAGTGGGTCACGTCCTGACTAGGGGTGACTTGTTCTGCATTGCCAGGTCAGTGGGTCACGTCATGACTAGGGGGGTGACTTGTTCTGCATTGCCAGGTCAGTGGGTCATGTCATGACTAGGGGTGACTTGTTCTGCATTGCCAGTTGAGTGAGTCACGTCCTGACTAGGGGGGGTGGCTTGTTATGCATTGCCAGGTCAGTGGGTCACATCCTGATGGGGTTCACTTGACCTCTGGGCTCAGTAAGCAAAGCACCACCTGGGCATGCTGCACCGCTTGGTGAGAAATAGAAAAAGAGTAGTCTTCAGCACAGTTTAGCTTTTCAAGTGTTGTTATTTTAATGCTGTGTAGTTTTTTTTACACGGTTACTTAGCACAAGCCCCCCACCTCCAAAAATAGCAAACAGCCAGCAACAAACAGCACGATAACATTTGTAATAGGCGAGAGTTAATACATTGCTTGAATTTATGCCAAGTTCATATTTGACTGCAGGATAGTTGTCATTCAGGAGCGGTGGGCGGTGCCGTGGTTCGCTCACTTGTGCTATAAATTTGTCGAGCAGAGTTTAATTCTCCCGCCATGACTAACATCAGTGGCGAGTGGCATCATGCGCTTTACCGACCTGCATTGGGCAGCCTGGTGATAGTATGGTCAAACAACTCCCGTGTCTAACACAGTAAAGGAAGGCCTTGATGCAGCAGTGGAGTGACAGAAGACTGCACATCTTAACACTGTCGGGTTATTCGAAGAAAGTTTTCGCTGCGGCAAAAAAACCGAAATGTTGGCTGGGGTTGAGACATTTGTGAAAACATCTGCAGGAACACCTTGCACTCTCGTCTGGTTCGGGACCAGAGCGTGGACGAATGAATGTCAAAGCGGAGCCTTTATTTAGCTTGCAAATTTATTTTGGCCGGCGAAAAACGTACGTGAAAATAACTACAGTAAATATAAAAACTAACATGCAAATAACTACAGTAAATATGTAACACATGCGTGCGAAATCTAAATAAACAGAAATAAAAGAAAAATAAAGGTAAGAATAAATGAATAAAACTAACTAAATAAACAAAACTAAATAAAGAAATAATGATACCTGGAAATATTTAAATTCTTGCGTAAGTGGACGATGAATATATTGGTGATAAGTACAGTATTCATAATATATGAATAAACACAAATATAAGAGATGCTCACTGAACGACTTTTATTCAAAGACTGAACGACAATGATGGCGCGTGGCGCGGACGCCGTGGAAGGTTTGGGATGAAATTGGACGACAGAGGAAAGCCACGTGGACGAAATTTGAAATCTGGTTATAGTTGAAAACGTCCGAAAGAGCGAAGCGACGAAAGTCAAGTGGACGAAAGTCAGTCAAGGTACCGCTGTATAAACTGAAACGAGCATTGGGCGGCACTTAGGTCTGTTGGTGGTCCTGAGCCAGTGGTGGAAATGTTACAATCTCATGGAGTTAGGACAGCATCTTTAAACGACGGTCACTTCCTAAGTTAAGATACCTATATATTGTTGTTTAAACTTCAGCTCAGGTGTCCTTCTTCAGAATGCTCAACTGACTGAATTCTGGTGAGAACCAAACTTTGCGATTTTTACTCACGATCTGGGGCCAACGGTGGAAATGACACGTTCCGATCGCGGACGCTGGTCTATCCACACGACGGCAGCTGTCGTCATCGCCATGCGCGATGCGGTACTCATTTTATTACCATCTGAGGGGATGATTGGTTAAGTTGATCCGTGACTGGGAATTTCAGTGTTCATCTGGCTCGGTATTTGGTTGGGTGCCCCATGGTGCCCTTCACCGCCAGGAGACACGGACCACCCCAGGCAGCTGCTACTGGCCAGCGGTTTGGGAAGCTTCGTGATGTCTCTCGCTGTCTCTCTCTCTCTCTGTGCGCAGGGCAACAAAAGCAGCGTGGGAACCGTGACCACCGCCTATTTCCACTACAGTGACGTCTGCACGCGGTGAGCACACGCGTGTTGGAGGTCTTACGAGAGAATCGATGCGCCACTCTTAATTAAAACGGCGTGTCTTTCGAGAGCGGAGCTCGTGTTTTACCGTGGCCGTTTGGCATTCTCTATCCGTTTAGGAGTCTGTGAAACACCCCAACGTGTGACTGCTATGAGAAACCGCCTCAAAGACAGCCTCACCGTGGCTTTGGTTTGGCTGCACAATGGTATCTATGGCTATGGATGCTGCCACGGCGTAACGGTTATCGCGGTGGATTTACATTCCCGGAGTTCGCCGGTTCGATGCCCTCTCTCCCGGCGCGGCAGTTGAAACTATGGGGCAAGTTTCTTTTCAATTAGCTAGAAGTCGACCAGCAGGTCGCTTGTGCACACGGTGCAAAAGAAGTTCAACATACATACTTTGCGATGAGTATAAAGTGTGGGCGCCCTCAACTATTTCAAGACATCTGGCCAGTGTGGAAGAGTAGGCCTCCCTACAATTCCTTCTAGTGGAGCGGCGCTTCCATCAGCAGTGGAGCGAGCAAGGAAATACAAGGCGGAACCTTCAGTTAAAAAAAAAACTTTATCTTTTGTTGTTGTTATATGCAGTCGGGTGGCTTTGTCGTGGCACACTCAACCCACTGGGAGTTTTGCACACAGCCTTGGTGTACGGTGCTTTTTTTCTGGAAGACTTTGCAGTTTTTTCCTGGATTTTTCTGTTTGCGCATAGTCACTTTAAGATGTTTTCTTGTTCATGTTTTTTGTTTGTTGCGGTTGCACCCGATTCAAGAGCCGAATGGCCCACAGGGCTATACCAAACAAATGAAACTGAAACTCACAATCGGAAGGTCGCGAGTTCATATCCCGGATATGGGTCAACTAAGCCCACCATTCCATTGCCAGCTGGAGCATGGGAACACTTTGACTCTTTCGTTATTATTGTTGTATCTCATTTCAGCACCGCTGGAAATTTCTCTGGGGGTGCCCGGCAATGGAATCGAGTTAGCGGTAGCACGTTCGGTAACAAAGGCTCGTTTTACGAAAGCTAAAAAAAGAAACTCAACACATTCGTCAATAACACTGCTGCCTTAAAAGAAAAAAAAGACATAATAATTGACGTTTTGTGCAATGGTCCTTCTTCATAGCACCTATGGTCCACCCTCATGGTCAAGGTCCACCCTAAATCGCATCCACACAAACCATGGCAGATGCGGACACCTGACGCACAAATGGAAAATTGAAAACTCTCCACGAGTGCGGGACTGTGGTCATCCAGAACAGATCGTACAACATATAGCGACGCAATGCCCCGATCCACAAATACGAATGAGACATCGCAGCGAGACACTCCTCTCTGCTCCAGACGCGGTTATACTGGAACCCCCAGGTTACACCAGCCCACACGGGATTATTGTGTCCATCCGTCGTGCATCCAAAAATGGGAGGGGTGGGGCTGGGTGGAGAGGGGAGGGTGGGGAGGGCCTGGGTGGGGAGGGAGGGGCTGGGTAGGGAGGGGAGGGTGGGGAAGGGCTGGGTGGGGAGGGTGGAGAGGGGCTGGGTGGGGAGGGGCTGGGTGGGGGGTGGGAGGGGTGGGGTTGGGTGGGGAGGGGCTGGTCACCCCGTGGTGCCCTTATAAAACTCAACGTTTAACCTACTCACGCCGGCTTGTGCCCGCCCTCACAGTCGGGCATATTTGCGGAATACACCACGCCGCCGTTGACCCTGGTCATTGACCAAGCAACCCGACGTTCCTACCAGCTCCCTCCGCAGGAATGTGTTCTGCTGGCTTGACCGCCCGAATGTGAAATTGTAGTCGTTGCTCTGCATCTACATCAGCCGCACGGAAGAAGAAGAAGCAGCAGCTAGCACGTAAATCAGTGTTATTGACGAATGTGTTGAGTGATTCTTTTGGTTGTTAATTGTGCCCGTGCACCACTACCAACGACAGAAGTTACTGAATAAGTGTACAAAAGCTACTTCAAGAGCTACGTTCGTCCCTGTGGTTCTTTTTAAATCCTTTATATGAAGTTCACTTGCGCGCTTGCTTGCTTGCTTATGACCGTGCAAATCTTTCGGTCGTTTTTTAACCCACTTCCCGTGATCCAATCGAGCTGACATTTTCCACACAGACTCGTTGTGCGTGACAATTAATGTTCGTGACATTTTTGTTCCAAAATTTTACACTTTTTAGGACTAAAATATATTTAATTACCAATTGCTTAATGGTGCCATGCAATCATCTGACCCATAGGTGGCAGCCATCTCAAGCCAGAGGACGAGAGGACTCTAGCCGCCACGCATATAAAGGATTTATAGTGAAAAACTTTGTTTTTACGGGTTATACTTGTTTACTCCGCAGCTCCGAACATACGCTCGGCAGATTCCCCAACAAGACGCTCTGCGCTGACCGGTTTGCTGCTGCCATCCAGCCCTCGCAGAGACGGTGAGACCTGCAGCAGCACGGGACATTCCTGCCAACGACGGGACTTGGTTTTGCTGCAGACGTGTGTTCAAATCTGGACTGGTTGTTTCGTGTATTTGCCCTCCCTCCACGCGCCTCCCATTAGCACGGTTGGCTACGTACGGTATGAAAGAAGTTCAACGTATATATAAGAACTGCAATAGACGCGTGTGTGTGGGAGCGGAGTGGTCCCAGCCACGGCTAATTTCAGTGGTGAACGGTATCTGAACGAGTCCTGGGCTTCCCCTAGGTCGACACAGCCTTAAGTGTGATGTGACCGAGCGTGGTTCTGGCTACAGCACTCCTCATGTGCAGTGCTGGTATGAGTATTTTCTGAAAAAAAGCACTTACCCTCAGCGTGTGTTTGGTTATATGGGGGACCTTTGTTTTTGTTTTGTGAAAAGAGAGTGGCGGTGTTGTGATTTGCATGCTCTCGCACTGTCACTTGATTCCTGGCCATGAACAATACTAGTTGCAGATAATGTGTGAACTTGGCTCGGCCGTCCTCGAGGTCATCTCGACCTAAAATCTGTGTTTAGTGTTGTCATCATCAGTGCCGGGCAGAAAGAGGTGGCCAGTTGTCATGCTGGCCCGAATCATATTCCTACGACGTTACACTCATATTCATCGTTGCTCGGTAACATCGTGTCAACAGCCTAAACATTTCATGGAGATTTGTGTTAGATTTGGTTTGTATGTATGTTATCATATATGCATGCGTGTGTGTGTGTGTTCGACACTTCACGTGGCCTCAAGGTGCACATAGCCTGGCACAAGCGTCGTGGTGACGTCACAGCCACTTAGTGGCGAATGGCGGTTGTTGTATCTTTGCAAGTGGGAAGCGGTGGTGTAGTGGCTAGCGCACTAACCGCTACGAACCCGCCCACCCGAGTTCTATTCCTGCTCACGGCCAACACCTGTCACGATTATCTGAAGCGATCGTGGGCCTCCCGTCGGTTGACTCAGCCTCAAATTATTACCTGGTGCTGTGTTAACATCGCCACTAGGGAGACAAAGGCGGTCGGGCGTGGTGTTGGTCACCCACCCCCTCGTGTGCCGTTCCAGGCCTTGATAGGTGCTCGATACCAGCACTTGCCCCAATAGTCAGTTACAGGCTATATGGGGGATCTTTGTATTTTGTATTTGTATCTTTACACGTGCGTATATTTGCGCGTGTCTGTATCTGCGTAATATCCTGGGTTTAACCAGGCTGGATTGTGTGAGGAGCTCACAGATCCTTGAAAGATCTGGACTCAGTCTCATCATTGAGCTCTTCCTGCAGGCAAGGCTGTCTTGGCTGGGTCACGTAGTCTGCATGCCCAGCCACCGCATGCCCAAGCAGCTTCTGTTTGGCCGGATAGAGGGTAGTGCACAGGTGGTGCATCTGCCAGTCATCTCAGGCAGTCAACCAGTGGCACCTGGGTTTGTTCCACAACCCCTTGTCAGCGAGCCTTCAACACTTCACATGGCATCAACTTGCACCTAGCTTGGCATAAGCGCTGTGACGACATCACTGCCACTTAGTGACGACTGGCGGCTGTTATTGTTGTTGTATGCTTACGTGACGTGTGTTGTGTGTGTACTCACTGATTGCTCTTGGCAGGTATGTGTACTATTTCAGTGGGCTTCTGTCACGCTCCATCAGCCTCAACACCTGCCCACTTTTTCTGCATCAAGTGGCGCTGCACGGCCTGCCTAGGGAAAGCTCTGGTTAGTGTGCGTGTTCACATGTGTGCATCGATGTGTGTGTGTGTTCACACGTGTGTTCACGTGAGAACTTGCAGCATGGTGGTTAGTGCGCTGCACTATAAACCCATCGTCCTGAGTTCGATTCTGGCTCACCGATATCCATCGGTGATGAATATCGGAACCAGCCCTGGGCTCACGCAAGGGAAACTCAACCTTGAATGAGTACCTGGTGCAGTTTGTAAACATCAGCACCGGGGGTGACAAAGGCAGCCAGACGTGGTTGATGGCCACCCACCCCGTCGTGGAACCGTGCTGGCCTTAAGAGGTGCTTGCTCACAGCACTTGCCTCAACAGCCTGTGCCGACAGACTCTTTGGGGGATCTTAGTCGTTGTGTTCACGTTCTCTTCCCTTCCTGATTCACTCCTGTACAGCGGTGGCCTCCGTGCTCTGCGATGTCAACTCGCTGCTCCCGTCTCTCCCGCCATCTTCCGCTCCTTCTTTTGCCTTCTCTCGTTCTCCCCTCCACGCTTAACTCTTTCTCTCAATCTCTTTTCACTTCTTCTCATGATGTGTCCTGCTCATTTTCTTGCGTGCGTGCATCTACATATCATTTTTGTTTCTCTTTAATGATTAATTTAATATATCGTCGTTCATGCAAGTTGCATCTCACAATCGCCGAGGAGCCACAGAAACGAGCTGGAAGGTTGCCAGGTGGTGAGCCAGCACCAACAATTGATCTGCAGTTCTCTACATATAAAGATGTTTTCGGCCAAATAGTGAGTCGTTATACACGTGCGAGGACATTGGAGCTCCTGGAGAAAAGCTAGGCACGCGAGGGGGGAACACTCTATCCCGTGCAGAAGGGACAGCTGCGATGAGTCCACACATCGCTGGACTGCATTCCGCTGGCAAGCCAGGGTATTGCAGCCTAGATACACAACATTTTGCCATTTGTCCCATCCACAGTGCAGGATCACAGGTGCACGCACGTGCTGCTGGGGGCTAGGGGGAGGTGGTGCTTCTGCGGTTAGCACACTGTGCGACAAAGCCCAGCGAACTGGGTTTAAGTCCTATCCGTGTATAAACAAAGGTGACACGTGGCATTCCAAAACCTTCATGAGAAATCACTCCTTTGATTCAGCCGTAAATGATACATGTCAACCCCTTATAAGTGGCTACCTTATTGCAAGACCAATTCAGGCCTTATTGGTCACCCCGTGCCCTTATAAATGTCAACGTTCATCCTACAAAGCCCGTATTGAAACGGCTGTGCGCCGTATGGACCTGAAAACTCAATTTCCCCATATAAGAATACGGGTAAACCGTATGGGTTGGCGGGTATGAGTATGTGTGTAAACAACAGTAACTCTGCAGGTAGGGGCAGCTTGCTGGGCGGTGTTGGCCCACATCACCCCGCTGTGTCCCACGCTGCCCTTAATGGGTGCTCGTTAACAGCACTTGCCTCGACAATCATCGATATTCGACATGGCTCAATGTGTTTGTGTCTTGCCATCAGCTCAGGGTGAAAAGTCAACATTTATATGGTAGAGTGCCAAAAGAACTGTGTAAGGATAGTTTATCCTATGGCGGTGTATATTCTGCTCGCTGTGATTCATTGTGTTTGATTTCTACAGGAGGCCGACTGTTTCTAAGGGTCTACCAAGGATTACAGCTCATGTACACATCCTCTGTGTAGTAAGTACGCATGCTTATCATCAGCAGCATGATCATCAGCACCACTACTACCAACGCCTTCATTAACATCATGATCATCAGCACCACTACTACCAACGCCTTCATTAACATCATGATCAGCAGCAGCAGCACCACTATTACCACTACCATCATCACCAGCATGATCATCACGACTACTATAACAACCGCCGTGACCTTAATCGTTAACTCTAAACCCACTATCGTCATCACACCCACCACCAACACCACCACCATCATCATAAACATGACGATAGCCACCACTGTTATAGCCGAAAACATTATCAGTATCTTATCAAGATTTATAGAGCACCTTTACCAAGGCGCATTACAGACATTGTAACATTGTACATAGCATGCTAATAATTTGACATTAATAATTGAATTATTGCAAGTGGTGGTGTAGTTTTGATGGCAGTAGAACAAGAGGGATTGCTAAGGAGGGATTGTGATAGGTCTGGTCGTAGCTGCCTACAACCAGCTTCATTGTCGGAATCTATTGGACAACTGCCAGTGAAACTGAAACATTCAAAATCGTAACTGAAGGCAAACAGCTGTGACCTGCAAATGATGAGACATTTAAACATACCTACTATAATCACCCGGGAATGTCTCTACCTTAACGCTCGTGACGTCACTCCACACTGACTAGCCCCCCTCATTAATATTCATGAGCAGGTGACATCCTCCAAATTGACACCCCCCCACCCCTCCTCATTAATAATCATGAGCAGGTGACGTCACTCAACATGGAGCACCCTCCCCCCTCATTAATAATCATGAGCAGGTGATGTCCTCCACATGGACCCCCCCTCATGAATAATCATGAGCAGGTGACGTCACTCAACATGGAGCACCCTCCCCCCTCATGAATAATCATGAGAAGGTGACGTCACTCAACATGGAGCACCCTCCCCCCTCATTAATAATCATGAGCAGGTGACGTCACTCCACTTCAAACAGCCCCCCTCATTAATAATCATGATAAGGTGACGTTCTCCAAATGGACACCCCCCTCCATTCATAATAATTAGCGGCTGACGTCACTCCACATGGGGGGTGGCGAGGCGCCTCCTCCCCCTCCTCAGCGTCAACTCACAACCCTCACTACAAAGGCAGAACCCTCACGTCACGCGATCTCCGTAACGCTGTTGAGACATCAAAGTAAAAAGGACGCCGTGATGAATAAGGGATTATAACCTTAAAATTAAATAGGTCTGTGTCACCGCGCCCTTACAAACTGCACGCGAATTAATGCAATGAAGAACCACGTCGCGGTCTGATTTTCGCTTGCAAGCTTCAGATTTACTGCAATACACCCGTCCTTGGACGGGCAAAAGGCTCGTGATATCATAATCAAATGTATACATTGGTCATGCCTGGTGAGAATGTATCTAGTGCAGTGATTTGGAGGGTTAGTGGATCACACAGGGATGGGGCGTCATGAAATTTCATGATGCGCTCGGCTGTAGGATTACAACGTGGTGACTGCGGAAGGCAGAATAGCAAATGTGATTCTGACTGTGCAGTCGCATTTGAGTGTTCTTATCTCGTATGCCCGGGATTTCTCTGGTCACATTAACTTATACAAAAAAATATTAAATTTGAGTTATTTGCTAAATATTCCAAAGGGGACCCTTCTGAAAAAGTGCCTCAGCACTCAGTGAGGCTTTTCTCACTCGATCACATGAGCAATTGTGCAGCATTAGATCCAGCTGGTGGTCCTAAAGACCTAAACCATACTCTTTGGTTCTTTCGGTAAAGTCACGTAGGTAGAAAAATAATAGATCACGACGTTTCGATCGCAACACAAGTAATCGTCATCAGGTGGGACAACCACAGCAATAAAAACTGCTCAAGTAGGCGAGAGATCTGCCGTGTCACGAGGTGATCTATGATCGATTAATTTTATACCTAAGTGACTTTACCGATTCTTGCAGTCACGAAAGCTTCAAATCAAGGTCCTAAACCAGTTATGACATTTCCATATGACAATGTCAGCCATCGGTTGCACTCGACAAGAAACCACTGTCAGCTGCCCAGAGAGTGGTATTCACTTTATTGACCCTGGAGGGATTATTGCCGAGGTCAACCCCAGACCAAGTGTAGAACTCAAGGCATTCTCATTACGAGTCGAGACTTCAAACACACAGCACCTACTCGTGCTTCGCCTGTCCTTGCCCCATGCTAAACACAAGCGTCCGTTGACAAATTCAATCTCTCCCTCACAGCTCTGTGCCCGCGACCGGAACCACTCAGAGCCTCAGCGTGAACGTGAAGCCGGCTTTGATGCTCAAGGGTGACGTGCTGGTGAGCGATGTGTTCACGCGTCTAAGCCATTCGCCGTCCACTGCTAGCTTAAGTGCCTCTCTCCTTCGGCACGGGCACGACACTGTCTGTGTATCTTCATCACTGGTGTCTGCGACGGAGACGTTTGCACACGCGCGCAATTCCCAGCGCGTATGGAAGTTTCAACCTCGCGTCTGTCGCAGTTTCATCCTCGTTGTCAAGCACCCCACGCCCCCCCTCGTATTTAATTTGGGAATTGACTCAATGTAGAAATATAAATACAGGAGGAATTGAGAATGGTCGCATTGTGCCCAACACAGTGTGTTGTGAGAAGGTCAAACGTCGTGTTGTGTTGGCAGCATGGCGCTTTCATGATCCCCTTTGTGTAAGAAGAGAGGTCAATGTTAAAATATGAGTGCTTGAGGTAGGAGCGATGTCTGCTTTACTTATGGTCAGTGAGTATGAGGCCGCAACATCTAAGCACACGTGGAGAAATGCCAGACATTTATGGCCGACTCCAGTTATTGAGTTGCCAGCTCAGAGCGAAACATGGCAAGATGACACTGACGAAGTAATCACGAAGAAGAGATTTGCGATTTGAGGAAATGCATGAGCACGGTGGAGAATGGGAAGGTTACCGAGACGGGCATTGGATTGGCGCCCGAAGGTCGGAGGGCTGAGGCCAGACGACCCGTGTTCATGAAGCTGTGTTGTGTCATTCGTGGGACATTTAAGAATCCTCGCAGGGGAAAGTAAGCAAACGCGAGTTGCGTTGGAGTCAACATCGGCTGCGATGACGTCTTCACCTTGAACCTTTGTTGTAAATTTTAGTTTTTGTTCGTGAGCGGAGGGGGAGGCGCAAAAGCCGTCTTTTTTTCACAATAGAGGGCCCCACAAGAGGCATGTTTTTGTGCCGTTGTTGTCGTTGTCGCTAATGAACAAGGAGGTCCCTACACGGCATCCTGCCGCGGGCCTTCAGCCCCCCAGCAACTCCAGGAGGCTGTGGGAGACCCCCAGGCGTGACCAATGACATGTGAAACGCCGCCGCGCTTGTGCCGCAGGTGAAATGCTACCGGGAGGCTCCGGCGAGCGGGCCCCCACCGAGCTGCGGGCGGGAAGCGATTCTGCGGCTGCAGCTGCACACGGCCGCGATGCGTCCTCGCGACACCTCCCTGTTGTTGCGCAAGCAGGACCTCGACCTCGCCTGCTCTGGTTCGGACACCTCCATCTGTCTGCCCGTCACACCGATTCTGCAGTCTTGGACTTTGATGGGGGTGGCTGCTTTAGATTGACCACATTGAGGATGGATCTGCCTCAATGTGATGTAACATCATACCTGTCTACCCCTGATCGGTGCCCTACCTTATTGCAGACCAATTCAGACCTTGTTGGTCACCCCGTGCCCTTATACATCTCAACGTTCATCCTACAAAGTTCCATCACAAGGGAGAAACACAAACAAATAGACATTTAATTTTTTTTGTCTGTATTAAAACGGCTGTACGCCATATGGACCTGAAAAATTAATTTCCTTGCATACGGGTAAACCATATGGGCTGACAGGTATGTAACAGGCAGAGGTGTCATTTATTATTTTGGTAAAGGAGTTACTATTTTTTTATGTACTACTTATTCATTTTTTAACCAGGTAATGCCCACTGGCCTGGCTGATGGTTCAGTGGCTTCAACATGGCCATTATGATCTACATCGCCATATCAATCAGAACACAACAAATAGAGTATTTGGCTGCTAAACTATAAAACTAAATGTTTATTTTAATATATTACTATGGCCCAATGAGCCACAATAACTCTTTTTCAGAAGCGACCTGCCCACAAATGATAGCCCAATGAAGTGGCTTTAATGTGGAAATTTATAGCAGCCAAATACTCTAAATGCATGATTCTACAAGTGGAGGGAAAAACCGGAGGACCCGGATGAAAATCCACGTGGCCACAAGGAGAGCATGTAAACTCCAAATATACAGGCGTCAGGGTCGGGATTGAACCCATGAGCTCCTGTATACCAAGCGAGGTAGTTAACATCTCGCCACCGTGGCGCCCCCACCGAGTTAAGTGGGCCATTCATATTTTCAGGTGGCTAGCTTGTTGGAATTATAAGATTGAGATTCTTGGTTCAAAGCCACTGCCCCTATCCCAACAAAAAAACAGTAGTACCAACATCACAACCACCATCAGCACCACCACCACCACCATCTACAGAATCTGGTTGATTCAGAGGATGAATATCCTCTTTAGAGTACTGATCCAATGCTGTAAAGATATTGCATTCAAATGGTGGAGTCCCCTTCAAATAAGTCATTTGATGGTCTCAGGCATGATCACCAATACACATGCAAACACATGTTTACTTGTTAATGTGCACTTAATGAGGTGGTAAAAGAAACTGATCAAGCTCATGCAATTCTGAATGTGATGATGACACACGTACTTGTGCCACTGTTCATCTGGTGTGTCTGTATTTTGCGCATCAGACCCCAGGTATCCGGACGATGGAAAAGTTCAGTTGATTTTCTCAGCCACCCCAGACAGAATGGCAGGTAAGACACTACCGGGCCTCATGGGCAACTGTGTGGCCTTGTGGTTAGCACACTTATATCTAAGTGCGGTGGTTCGCTAAGTGAAATACAGCTTCTAGTAACCTACACTATTTTCCCTGTTGAACTTTTTTTTCGCGCCGTACCAACTGTGCTCATTGGAGGTAAGCGCAGTGAGCCTGTGAGAACATAAATGATCCCACTGAATTTCAGCACAAGAGTAGATCGGGAATTGTTATTCAGTAATAATTGACTGCACTTTTGTCAGTCTTCCGTGGTTGGCCACAGGGTTTGTTTGACCATACTTGACCATGCTACTCAGTGCAGGTTAGTGAACAGGACCCCAGAACTGGCTCCGATGCCACTCGTCATTGATGGTTAACCGTGGCTGGGAATCATACTTAGGTAGCTAAAGTTACAAGTACAGAATGCTAACCCCTGCTCCTCCTGTACATGTACACAGACAACAACAATGTACACAGACAATACACTCCTAGATGACGGCCTCTTGACATTGTTTTTAGTTGATTAAAGGAGCAAATTTTTCCTTTGTTATTTATTTATTGTTTTGTTTAATTAAAACACTTTTTTCAGGCCTCGGTGTGTGAGAGCTTGAATGACCATCAATTTGAAATGTCTTTTGAGAGGCAGAATTTCTGACAGTGGACTGCGATCAAAATTCGGAAAGAGCAGTGATGATGATGATGATGATTACGTTGTTATATCACAGAATTGGTATTTATTGCATAACTTTCTGTGGGCTCAGGTCTATATACACTGAGCTGTCTGAACGTTTCCACAGGGACCGAGAGCCTCCTGAAAGATGGTGCGGTGGCTGTGGATCACAGTGCCACAGACCCAATCCTGCGCTGGGATTCCTACAGCCACCTGCACACGTCCTGGGACACCTTTGCATCAGGTGACACATAAATGGAACGATTATTAACCCCAACCCTCTCTCCCGGCTTAATTGCCCATTTGGGTAGCGTTGTTGGTTAGCGTGCATGACTTGCAGCACCTAGAGGTCACTGCATTAACTCTCTCCCCACTGTACATGCACAGCAGCATCCAATCACAATCATCCACCTTCAAGCAGCAGCTCAAGGCTCTCACCCTGTCCAGGCTCCCGCCCTGTCCAGGCTCTCACTCTATCCAGGCTTCTGCAGGAGGTTGTGGGCTCTATCCCGACTGACGCCTGTATATTAGGAGTTTACATCTTCTCCCTGTGTTGCGTGGATTTTTCTCCGGGTCCTCCGGTTTTTCCCTTCACGTTTAGAATCGGCATCACGCGTTTGGCTGTGAAACATTTCCACGTGATAAGTCACTTCGTTGAGCCATCGTTTGTGGCCAGGGTCACTTCTGAAAAAGAGCTACATAGTTCAGAGGGCCTTACCTGGTAAAATAAAAAAAAAGTTTGGTTACTTTGACTTCAGTCTAGAGTGGGATATGAAACTTTGCAGCGTATAGTTTCATCATCGTCATCATTAGTATTATGATTTTAACGGCGGGTGGCCCCTCTCGCCCCGTCACCTTCTCCCGTAGCGGAGAAAGCGAGGCCTGTGGGCGGCGAGGCCAAGCAGCCGGGCCGTCGCGCGGCTGACGGCGGCGGCGGTGGCGGCGCCGCAGCAGCGACCCACACGGAGCACACGCTGTCCGTGAGCAGCGACTCGGGCCGATCCACCGCGTCCATGCGCACGTCCGACGACGCTCGGCCACCCGCCAGCCCGCTCGGTACGTGGCGGCCTCCTCTGTCGCTCTCGCCATCCGTTTCCCCCGCAGAGGAAGCAATCGGCCAAAAGGAAAAGGAGTCATTCTGCAGGCAGCCTCAGATAGAGTGGGGGACAACAAATGTTTCGAGAGTTGGGGAACACGCTCCCCGCACGGCGAGCATCGCAGACTTCTACCAAAGTGGTTCACCCACGCGATCTGTTAACTCTGGGGGGATGAAGATGATTGTGTCAATTTGATGACCGCCTCATTCGAGATTCGAGCTCGCAACCTTCCGTTCGGGAGGCAATTTTCAGCGCTTCGTGCTGCCGTTTATGTGCCCAATTGGTGGCATATCATCCTACGTGTGTGTGTGTGTGTGCGTTCCTGCAGGACTCCATTGCCAGGCATCCACGGCCTATTCGTTCCCGTCGCCCCTTTCACCTGTACCATCGTGGGCTCCCTCCCCAAGCGACACGCGCGCAGGCCCCACCACTCTCAGCCCTGGGGAGCAAGACCAGCTGCGGCAACTGTTGCACGGTTTCGGCTGCACCGGAGGCAGCGGGTTGTCGGCTTCAACCACCGCACACCCGCACTCCTCACGTGCGCCCGCGGGTGACCGGCACTCCGACCCACATCATCATCAGCAGCACAGCCCGCACAGGGTGCACTTTGGCGACACGCCCAGCATGATGCCGGTCCGAGAGACTGACATCCTGGACGATGATGTAGATGATGATGATGTCAACGATGAAGACGATGTTGTTGACATTCAAGATGATGATGATATCGACGAGTCGCCTTCCACGCGTGCCATGGAAATCCTGGAGCGTGGCGCGCTTACGTTCTGTCCTGGCGCCAACCGACGTCGCCACTTGGGGACGGGCGACCTGCGGCTGAATTTGGCGTCCGGGGACGCTCGCCCACAGGAGAACGGTATCGGCAGCCGCAGCCCTTACACGCGAGCACCTCGAGCAACGTCGCCAAACATGAAATACGGGCAGCCGACTCACGCGGTCGCCCCATGCGACGTTACGTGGTTGGCTCCAGGGGTGACCGCTATTCGTTCACCGAGCTCTGATCTCTACGCCATGGTGCAGCGGAGGGGGGCATCACAACCAAGCCTGGAGCCTGGCAGCAGTTGCCTGCAGCATCTGCAGCATCATCATGAGAAGCAGCAACAGCAGCAGCAGGAGGTCCCACGTTGTGTGCGATTTGGGGCAGATGTCCCCATGTTGCCCGCTGTGCCGGTGAGAGGAGACAGCAGCCGTCAGGCTGTGCAGGGTCACAGGTGAGTTCCGTTCACGTAATCTATGAGCACGTTCTGCTGATGATGCTGTCACTGCTTCTGCTGAAGATGTTGCTAACAGTTGCTACTTATACCGCTGATGATGACGATGAAATCTGGTCATGAAGGCAGGTGAAGGCCTGGTCACCACCACCACCACTACCCCCAGCGGAGCCAAACCGCACGACATCCGAGACGGTGACACTGCTGGGAGACACGGCCAAGTTCACGTCCTTGAGGGCGGGTGACGGGCACGACACCCCGCCAAGCCCGAGTGAGCTCGACCAGTCCTTGGAGGCCCTAAACCTCCTCATCATGGACCTTGACCCCACCTTCACTCCCGTCTCCAGCCTCCACCGGGTACCGAGTGGGCACCAACGGTCACTTCCGGGGATTCTCGGTGAGCACTGGCACCCACTGCGTAAGGTTCATGTGCTCGTACAATCGATGGCTTGACTCGCGTCTCGGCGAATGTTGCTCTCCGTTAGATTGTTTTACCATAATGATGAGGAATCGTTCAGAATGTTTTCGTACACTCAGAGGGAGAGAATGATTCAGAGGTGCGGGAAACCACAGACAAGTGGGGAAGAAGCCAGAACTGTTGCCAACAATTACCCAAGCTCTGAAGACCTATATTGGTCATATTCTGCCCACTCCATTAATGAGCATGCATACACGTGGGAGGTAACACACGTGAGAGGGAGGGTAACCCTCGATCACCGTACTGATGGAATATGGATGGAAATGAATCCACTTGCTGTACTGTGAATTATTATGATTCTATAGTAAGCTATTGTAAATGTAAAATTATCATTTGTGCGTGCATGGTTAAATGCACCAGTGCACGTACTTTCGGTGAAGTCACTTAGCTATAAAATAAAATAAATCACGACGTTTCGGGATCAACACGCGTGACTTCATCAAAAAAACCAAAGAGTATGGATTCCTGCAGTCACGAAAGCTTCAAATCAAGAGTGCACGTACTGTTTACCTCGCCAGGCTGCACTATTCTTAGGGTGCTTAACTCACATTTGTATGTAAATTGCTTCAAAATCCTGGTCAGGGGTAATGAGATACAGATACAAAAAAATTGAAAGACTTTTGAGCTCACTGTGCTCTTACCTGGCTATAAATAAAGAATGTATGTATGTAGGCATATCTATATATACACACACACACAAGAGTCATATTCCTGACCCCAGCAATCATCAGCCGTGAATTTTATCTGAAATGGTCCTGCGCCACCTCGCACTTACTGGCGAGCACGGTGAGGTGTGGTTAAACAACCACCATGACCAGAAAGCACGGGCAGGTTTTCATCCAGCAGTGGATTGACAAAAGGCTGTAGCATATTTAATTAATGATAATAGGTTTTTCCCCTTTTTCTGGCAACAAAACAGGTGTTAAGATGTTAAAACACCAAACTGAAACCTTTTACAAGGAATCATGTCTGCATTAACTACAATGCTTGTGGTCAGAATGCAAACAAAAAACACACTCTGATAACATAGACACTGTCCTTGAAACTGATTGGTCCACACCAGAGACAGCTTTTTTTCAAGCCTCGTCTCAAACGGTGTTAGACCAGAGTACGCCAAAAGGCGTAAATGAATGTTATATTTCGCTGTCATACTGCACCACACAGGACTACTGCGGTGAGAGCTGTAGCCATGACGTCAGCTCATGCAAGTCGCTCAGCCAGTGGGTCCAACGCAGCCAGTTCACATAGGAATTGGGGGAAGTTAATCATCTGCCTCGGGCCATCATTGCTTATGCATGAATGTTGATGATGATGATGATAATAATAAATAAAAGAAACCACGTGCAAAAGTGCCCACACTCGCCAAGCGCCACTGTTCGCGTTAGCAGGTGCTGGCCAGTGCACGGGCGCGACCGACGAGAGGAGACTCTTGCAGCTCAGGAGCAGCAGCAGCAGCAGCAGCGAGGGAATCATCGGCGGCAGCGCCGGCGGCGCCTACAACGGCGGTCGCCACCCTGCGCCGTCGCGGCCCTTGGAGCTGGCTCAGCAGCTGGCGGCGCCGGACATGGAGCCGTTCGGTCCGAACAACGGTGTGGATGTGGCCCAGGCTGACAGCTCGCCCGAAGGTCAGTCGTCACCGCTCTTCCGGTGCAATCGCGAGGGCCAAAAGGCGCGCTCCCCGAAAACGTCTTGTTCATGCCGCTGCTGGCGCGAAGGCTAGAGAGCCTTGGTCTACTCTTCCGCGCTGTTATCCCACCACACGCGACCTGATTGATCCACTAACTCAGGGGTTGGCAACCTGCAGCAACCTGCGGCTCCGGAGCCGCATGTGGCTCTGTAAGGACCGAGGGACTGCTTTGTGCCGTTGTTTATTGAGGACCGTCTCAAATTCACATGCATTGCGGCTCCTTGAAATATAGATTTATTTTTCTTTTTATAGAATTCTAAGGAAATGGTTCTCATTGTTATGTTGGTCGCCGGCCCCTGCACTAACAAATGTGTACCTATATTGCTGGGTGGACACGCGGGGGAGAGAGGGAGGGGGGGGAGTTTAAGAAACTTTCTCATGTTTCAAATGCCACACCGGGAGCACGAATCGAACCAGCGAGCTCAGGATTGCAAGTCCAGTCTGCAAAACACGGCAACATCCATTTCCCCCCTCGGCACCACTGCTCTACACCAGGGAAAAATACATAATATGATCAACGTTATATGCAATGATCCTTTCGCAGGACAGTGCCCATGACAAAAATGGAAAGCGTTTTTTTTTTATTTGTGCCTTTACACAACAGGCTATACAGAACCTTATTTTACCCACGTCTTTTCTGCTATGAAGAATGGGCCAATACCTGATATGTCAGCCTCCGGCTGCACATTTTCCCATTAAAATAATAAGTGCTGAATATCAGTCTGGCATCTTGTGGAATTATTACGGCATGCCACGTGCATCTTGCCTACATTCGTCCTCATGATACTTATTTTCTCCTTATCGGAAGGGTATGGTAATATAGGAGTATTATGAATAGGCAGGAATACCTTTGTACACGAGTGATAGTACCACTCGAGTACAATAATCCAATACTCTGAGCCAACTCGCAGCGTCTCGGAAAATCCTGAGTGAGAAATGAAGCCCTGGTTCGAGTGTTACTGATGAAGGCAGTGACTGTCTTACTACTTCCACCAGAGCATGCGTCGCTGACTTTCTTTTGCGTGATGGGCCGTGTGTGACTCGTGTCACTGGACATCTTTAAAAATTTGCTTCATAACTCCTCTTGTTGTTGGTTGTTTGACTTGCATCCCACTGGGATTTTTGCACACAGCGTTGGTGTACGGTGTTTTTTTCTGCAATATTTTGCTTCCTTTTCTTGGATTTTCTGTTTGCACTCAGTCACACATTCACTTTAAGATGTTTTTTTTGTTCATGTTTTTGTTTTTTGTTTGTTGCGGTTGCACCCGATTCAAGAGCCGAATGGCTCACAGGGCTATACCTAATAAATGAACTTGAACTTTAAAGATTGTGATTGTGTGTCGTACAGAGCAAGGCAGCTACGTGGAGATGGTCCCGTGGACATCCGATGTCTTCAGCGCGCGCTCCGCATCTCCCACCGCACGCTACTGTGCTGAAGAAGCGAAGCCTGTGGCCCCGCACAGGTGAGGAAGCTCGCCAGCGCTACCTACAACTAACTCCCAGCCACAACTTCTTGGTTCTTTCGGTAAAGTCACGTAGAAGGGAAATAATAAAGTAATACAAATAAAACATAATAAAATAATTCTCACGACGTTTTGGCCACAACGCAAGCAGCCGTCATCAGGTAAAGAACAGGTCTGTCGGGAAGATAGACCTGTTCTTCATGCTGTTTTCCCGACAGACCTGTTCTTCACCTGAGGATGGCTGCTTGCGTTGTGGCCGAAACGTCGTGAGAATTATTTGAGTATGTTTTATTTTTATTATTTTATTATTTCCCTACTACGCGACTTTACCGAAAGAACCAAGAAGATGAATCCCTGCAGTCACGAAAGCTTTAAATCGAAATCCCAGCCACAACTTTCTTTTAGTATTTGCTTTACTTTACTGTGTAGAATTGTTTAATTTGTATGTTTTTTACCCTTTCCCGTTGCGAGACGTCTGCAAGTTGCAGGGTTGGTCCCGTTCACCGCTGAATCTCGGAACGTGCAAGCGGTTAGCGTTAATTTTATTTAGAAAGGCATAGCGCCATTGTTTTTACAGACATTGTACTCACCGCAGAGAACTGTAGATACATGACCGCACTCTATGACAGCTGGCGCTGACCTGAAGACGTACCGATAAAGTTATTTTATTATGACGTACATGTTCGTCAATCGATGACATGTACCTCATCGGACTGGGAAAGGGTTATACTGATCTGATCCCGCTTTGGGTGGAAGATTTGTGCCAGCATTCGCCACGTGTTAACCAAAAATAAATTGACTTGACTTGACTATTGGCATGCACTGCACTGCAGCGCCAAGCGGTAGTGAGTTTGCCGCCCATTTCAGAGGTTCCCAGTTAAAGCCCAGCGGCCGCCCTGTTTAATACTGCCGGTGTACCATCTGTAAAAAAACGTGCCCTCTGCTTCACAGTTGAACTTTAAGATCCCATGACGTTATTCAACAAAGAGTATGCCGTGTGCACCGGCAATCATGGTCCAAATTTGATCAATTACTCACAAATTGCTTAATTTGGAAAAAATCGCATCGTGACGTCGCCCCCTTATTGGCGGACGAATGCCGACTTGCAGACCACCGGTGCTGCGTGCTACTTGTTCTGCACAGCTAGCACTGGGTGGGGACGTCCTACATTGGGATGTTTAGCTCGTTCTATTTTTAAGTGTTTTGCATGTGGCAGGAAACCGGAATGCCCACAGAAAACCCACACGTTTCTCCTTGTTATTCTTAGCCTAATGTTCCCTTATATGGGGTCCACTTTGTTTGGTCATCGCTCTACACTCGCCTCTGTTCTGTGCCGAATGTGCCGCCATGCCTTAATTCCTCATGTCCTCCTTCAACATTTGCGTCCATCCTCCTTCCTCTATGTATTCCTCTTGCTCGGCTCGCTGGTAACTCCTTGCTCTGTACCCTTTACGAGAAAAAGAATATCACAACCTCACACCACCGTCGCCATCTCCTGGCCACCTCAGAGCCCAGCGAAGCTGGGGAATTACAAAACAAAAAATGCGCGATCAAACGTACACTATATACGGTGGAAATTTTCAACAACATTGCCCTAAAAGTGAAAATAAATATGCAGATCAGATGGCCTTTCTTCAAAGCACACAGATCGAGAAAAAGGGCCATCGACAGATGTGTTTAGTTGTTGTTTTGTGTGCCCTTGCACCGCTGGAAATCCAGTACGTATGTGTACATGTGTATTCTTCACAGTAGTGTAGCGGTGAGCGTATTAAACTACGAACCCGGCGACCTGAGTTCGAATTCCCGCTCATGGCCAACACAAGTGACTATTATCTGAACCGGCCCTGGGCCTCCCCTAGGTCGACTCAACCTCAAATTAGTACCTGGTGTGGTGTGTAGTAAACATCACCACTTGGGAGACGAAGGTGGCCGGGCGTGGTGTTGGCCATCCACCACCTCGTGTGCCATTCCAGCCTTCATAGCTGCTCACTAACAGCACTTGCCTCAATGGTCTGTTAAGCCGATATGGGGGATCTTTGTCTATGTATGAAGGCGGCAACACAGTGTACCTCAATTTATGTAATGAAGAACGTGGACGTTGGGTTCTTCTGTTTCGGCTATACGGGGGATCATTGTCTTTTCTATTCTTCACAGTGCTCCCAGCACCTTGACAAAACCGAGCGGCGTCACGGAGCAACCGGGAGGCATCTCCACGCAAGCTTCCGTCACCAGCTCCTACATGTCCATGGTTGGTTACCCAACCAACACGTGGGCCCGCCACGGCGAGCAGCACGAGGAAGGCAGCCTCACGCAGGCCCTGCCCGTGGGGCCCTCCAGCGCGCTCCTCGTGAGCTCCCATCGCCTGCCTGCCAGCAGCAGCAGCAGCAACCACGGCGGCGCGGGGCGAGGGACCTTGCCCACCTATGCCTCCGCGTTCCCGAGGTCGGAGAAAGAGGGCCCCTCGCACCTCTTCCCGTCCACCTCGTCCTCCTCGTCCGGCTCCCGCAACGAGTCGAGGGTCGGGCTGGAAGGAGCGCGGTCTTGGCACGCGTCCGTGTTCGGCTACCCGCCAGAGGGAGCGGAACGGTCGACGGCGACTCAAGGCGCTGGGAGCTTCTCCCTGCCCGCCTCCAAGCATCTCAACGGGCATCTTCCCGCCTCTCCGGCGACTTTTCACGGTTTTTCGCGCGCTCCACTTGGAAATCCCGGAGCCACCGGTGCGGGGCAGAGCGACGCGCGGCAGGAGCGCCTTGGCAGCGAGACATTGCTGAGCTTCGCAGCGCCACCGAATGGTGCGCCGGGCGGTCTGCACTGCAACGGAGGGGTCGGCCACAAGAGCGGCACCAGCAGCCGGTCGAGCTACAAAGGCGCGTGGTTCGACAGCCTGCCCATGCACTTTTCCGTCGACAGCGAAGGGGGCTACACCTCTTACTCGCACGCCAAACCCGAGCACACGCTTGCGCGCGGTTTTGACGGCGCGCTGCCAGACGTGTACCGAGGCACGCACACCACCGCGGCAGACATTCACGGCCCCGTCCTGCCGAGCGGGAATGCTCAGAGGCCGATCGCGGCCACGGCCGCCGCCACTGCCGCCGGCGGAGGCGTGCCTCGAAATGCCCGGGAAGGCTCCTTGAGCACGGCGGCTTCGTTCGCGACTTTCGCGGCCGTCGTTGCCGGTCGGTGCCGCCCCGGTCTCGTGGTCCCTCCGCCGGAACAAGCCAGCGCCGCTTACGCAGCCGCCGCCGCCGCCGCGACCGCCGCTGCTACCGCGGGTGTCGTGGGAGGAGCATCAGCGGCTGCACAGCTCGGCGAGCGAGCACCGCTCCCCGCTGCACAGCGAACTGTCGAGCCCCGGGGGCACGAGCACGTCGAGCGTGACGTTCGTGCAGCACGTGCAGCATGCACCACCCGCGTCGCGTGGCCCTGCGTCGCCCGCGCGCGTCGCAGCCTCCGGTACGCGGCCAGCGCCGGGTTGAGGTTGACTTGGGGCACAGTGCTGGCGTCGTTTGCTTTTGGGGGCATGTTCAACTCCTCTCCCTTGACTGTTTAACTGCCACCCATGCTTGATGCCAAACACTCTGTTGTTTACCTTAGTTATTTCAGTTTGTCTTTTTTTTTATGTGTACAGCTCAAAGTTACAATGAACAACACTCTTTTATGCAGCCACATCACTGGTAGCAATCCACAGAGCGATGCTGTGACTTAAATGACCCAATTACACCGTTTTATTTATGAATGTATCGTGTTTCAAATATAAGTTACATGTTTGGGAGCCCCTCAATTTCCGAGGCCCCTGGCTGCAGCAGACCCCGCTTCAGCTGAGCCCAGTGACCCTGAGCCTGACCCCTGCACCACGGGACACATTACTGCACGGTGATCGAGCTGGCCAGAGCGCTCCGGTGGCCAATCTCGTGCCAGAGAGAAATAGAATGCACCTCATAAACATGAATCTCCGTGAATCAAAATGAGCACACACTCATAAACTGAAAACCAAAAATGTAAATCGCTCTTTGTGCGCATCTGCAACCCTGTCAGTCCACTGCTGAATGAGGACATCCTCACGCCACGTGGTCCTTGCGGGTTATTGACCGTCCTTAACCACTTTGGTCCGTGGGGGTGGGTGAAGGCAGCGAGAATAGGGATGGGAGCTTATAAAATATAGAAATATGATGGATTTTGCTGCAATACTCTCGACTGTCAATCACGTAGCTCTGCAGCTTGTAACTCCTGTTACGGATGGATGGTCGCCCATTCAAGGACTTGCCAGACTTCAGCAAGCTTAGCTTCCCAGATCTGGGTGATTGGATGAAAGGAAAATCACTTATAGAGAGCCCAAATCACAAGACGTGTTTACAAATCTACCTCGAATTACATTGATCGCCAATGTACTTGCGCCCTCACCTGGTTAAATAAAGGACTTCGGCAATCGGTCGGTGATTTTCATTGACTTTGAAATATCCTCTTACCGTTCGGTGTGGTTTGTTTGGCTTTCAGGTTGGCCAGATGGAAACAACTCGGGATCAGACAGGATCCCTCACTTCACCCGCAGCAACATCAGTTTTGTGCAGGACACATCCAAGTTCTGGTACAAACCTGGCATCACGCGGGAGCAAGGTAAGGAGCGTTGTGTGTGCGAGTGATTGAATCTGGGATTAACACAGACCCAGAGGTGGCGTATAACGTGTCCATTTCATGTTCGATAATGAGCTAGCGCAGCTTAGATCTGGTTCAAATTGGTAGTCTTATGCAATGTATTTATTTTGCATTTGCACCGAGGCAGGCAGCAGCTTAATCATTTGCCGGATGCAGTGTCCTCAGACCGTCGCTAAGCTTGGTCAACGGACAGAGTCTTCAACAATGTGCGTCATCGTCTGTCGTGCATCACAGCTACATTTTGGGTCGTGGCGTAAGCTCCGCCTGTGCAAGCTTTGTCGCACACAAGAGGCCTTGGCCAGTTGGGAAACGGCTGGGCAGGGCGCAGTCATGGCGCTAAAGATCAAACCCAGGGGAGCAGATCGCAGGGTGGGTCCACGAGGAATTGGTTCCTTGTTGACGATGGGAGCCACTCCTCGCACCGCGTGGCTCGTTGGTCCACAGCGGGTGCCACGATGACAGCTGGGGCAGCCGGCGGGTGAAAGAGATGTTACGCCAATGACTGTGATGGATGTTTAGAGATTATAGTCGAGATAAAAATCTGAGGATAATGCAGCCATCGTCATGCATGCTGCCTCACCTCCACCATCGCTTCCCTCTGCCAGATCTCACAGCTGTTGCAGAGTTGACATATCACTTTTTCCACATCACCTGAGTCTGACCTAACACGATCCCACCATCTGGTTTAAGTATACAGAGTCAATATGTCCTACGTACAAAGGGGCCGTCCATAAATGACGTCACGCACGTAGGGGGGGGGGGGTCAGATTTGTGACGATGTGTGACGAGAGGGGGGGGATTTGAGAAATGTGACGTCACGTCAAAATGCGCAACTTTAAATAAATATAGAATTGTTATAACAACACTCCTACAACATCAGAGTGCAGCGCGCCACATTAAATACGTACTACAATGACAATAGTTTAAAGCGATTTGAAGCATGTTTTATTTTCAAAATGGACTTATGGTTTGGGGGGGGCAGAGCTTTGTGACGTCATTTTAGGGGGGGTCTGACTTGTTGTGACGCCGTGTGACGAGGGTTGAGGGGTCAAAAATCGTCCAAAATCGCGTGATATCATTTATGGACGGCCCCAAAGACCATCCAGCCAGGTCGTTTCGCGGTAGAGTGTGCGGTGCGCAATCAGAAGGTTGTAAACCCAAAGCCTGTTTCGGTTGATACAATGTGGGAAGTTAACGGCGGTTGTCCTGAGGATAGACTCGCCCCTTCCACGAAGTATCGACATTTCCACCACTGGCTCAGGGCTGTAACAGGAGATGGACGCTGCCTTTGTATCCATTTGAGCCGGATATCATGAAGACTTTTAGGATCATTCTTACATCATCATTATCACAGCCATATGGCTTTACATCTTCCCCTCGGCAGCCACCATCTCTATGCCTACTCCAGTGGCCTGCCTCATTGAGCTGTCCACTCACTTCCGGTACCTCCATATTTGAAGTTTTCGTGACTGCAGGGATCCATACTCTTTGGTTCTTTCGGTAAAGTCACGTAGGTATAAAATAAAATAAATTAAATCACGACGTTTCGGGCGCAACACAAGCGTCCGTCATCAGGTGGAACAGATGTGTGGAAACCCTCCCCGTAGAGGCGGTTTAATCTAGATTTGAAGTTTTCGTGACTGCTCCAAAGAGTATGTGTACCTCCTTTTCCCTATTACACCTGAACCACTGATGTGGCACTGGTGTGTATGTATGTATGTTGCACATCTTTAGCACCTCACATAGTCAACTCTACTAATCGGAGGTGGGGAGGAAGGACAACAAACTAAACACAAAAATAAATTCTAACGAAATGAGTTTACAATCTTTATTCCAAAGGGCAGAGCTCCAATGGCTTCTAGACGGCCCGCAAAGCGCATCTGCAAGCGCGCGATACGGTGGCCGTCTTTGTTCAATGGCCAGCCGAAAGCCTCTGCTGCGAGGACGACCGGAGTTCAAGCGATGATGGTTCATGCCCTTTGACGAGTTGTGTGTAGTCGTGTGTTGCCGACCTACAGTGCATCACTGTGTTATTGCTTTTATGGCTTTATTTTGTTGATTTTCGAAAAGTTTTTTGGTTTGGCCATGTTTTTTTGTTGTAGTACAGAGTTAGACTGATGGCCTTAATCTAAGTTGTCTTGTGGTTGTTGTTGTTGTTTGACTTGCATCCCACTGGGATATTTGCACAGGGTTGGTGTACGGTGATTTTTCTGCAATATTTTGCTGTCTTTTCTTGGATTTTCTGTTTGCACATAGTCACTTTAAGATGTTTTCTTGTTCATGTTTTTTTGTTTGTTTGCGGTTGCACCCGATTCAAGAGCCGAATGGCTCACAGGGCTATACCTAATAAATGAACTTTGAACTGTGTTGCCCTGTGCAGCCGTGGCGCTGCTGTGCCCACGCGAAGCCGGGGCGTTTGTCATTCGAAACAGCAGCTCCTTCCACGGGGACTTCGGGCTCGCCATGAAGGTGGCCAACCTGCCGCCCGGCGTGCCAGTACAGGGTGAGCGGCGCATGCGGTGATGCGGCCTTACGGAACACGATAAAACTAAGCGCAACTTTTTTTTTATTTGTTCAGGTAGGGCCTCACTGAGCTATATAACTCTTTCAGAATTTTCTGTTTGCACTTAGTCACATAGTCACTTTAAGATGTTTTCTTGTCCATGTTTTTGTTTTTTCTTTGTTGCGGTTGCACCCGATTCAAGAGCCGAATGGCTCACAGGGCTATACCTAATAAATGAACTTGAACTTGAACAGAAGCGACCTGGCCACAAATAATAGCTTAACGAAGTGACATATCACGTGGAAATGCATGGATGCCACGGTGGCGAGGTAGTTAACATCTCGCCACCGTGGCATCGATCTGGACCCTGACCCCTATCTATTTGGAGTTTGCGTGGCTCTCTTCTCGTGGTCGAGTGGATTTTTCTCCTGATCCTCCAGGTTTTCCCTCCACATTTAGAATCAACATGTGTTTAGAGTATTTGGCTGCTTTAAATGTCCACATGGACTTCGTTGAGCTGTCATTTGTGACCAGGTCGCTTCTGAAAAAGAGCTATATAGCTTAGTGGGCCTTAGCTTGTTAAATAAAAAAATGTGTTTTATAGTATAGCAGCCAAATCCTCTATTTGTTGTGTTCTGATTTATATGGCTGTGTAGATCATAATGGCCATGTCAAAGCCACTGAACCATCAGCCAGGCCATTCGAGAAGGCGGGGAGAGAGGAAAGCGAGTTAAAAAAAATTCCGGACCTCATACGAGGGGACCACAGAAGCGGCTCAGGAGGCCTCAGAGGAGGGCATCACCTGGAATGTTGTCTCAGGCCTCGAAAAACATTTTGGCAGACCTCCCATTTACATTGAGATGCTAATTTGGTTGACTAAGGTACAGGCAGTCATCGACTTACGAACACCCGACTTAGGAACACGCGGACTTACGAACCAGCTTCCATGAAATATAAAAAAGATTAACATTGACTTAAAACACGAACTCGCACTATCAAACTGAACTACGGAACTATTTTGTTCAGAGGAGCGATCCTCCGCGAGATGCGATGAGTCGGTCTCGCGCTGGGAGTGAGTGTGTGTGCGCGTGCGTTTGGGTGGGGAGTGGTAGTGTAAGGGTTAGCACGCTGCGCTACGAACAACACCAGTAAAGATTATCTGAACCGGCCTCCCCTAGGTTGACTCAGCCTCCAATGAGTTCCTGGTGTGGTGTGTAAACATCACCATTGACCGGGCGGGGTGTTGGCCACCCACCTCCTCGTGTGCCATGCAGGCCTTCATAGGTGCTACCCGCAAACAGCACTTGCATCCTACATTCTGTTAAGGCTATATGGGGCATCTTTGTTGTGTGTGGAAGAGCGGTAGTGTAGTGGTTAGCACGCTGCGCTACCAGCCTGGCGACCAGAGTTCAATTTCTGCTCACGGCCAACGCCAGTGACGATTATCTGAATGGGTCCTGGGCATCCCCTTGGTCGACTCAGCCTCAAATATTAGTACTTGGTTGTAGTGTGTAAACATTGCCCTGGTCTGATTTGATTCTGTCACCAGGAGACCTGGTGGATGAACTCGTCAGGCACTTCCTCATCGAGACGAAGGCCCGGGGAGTGCGGCTGAAGGGCTGCCCCAATGAACCCTTCTTCGGTGAGTGCCGAGTAGACAATGGACAGCTGACGCTGCCGTATTACACCGTCTTATTACAATTTCAAAGTCAAGATTAAGAGGGCATCAAGAGCCAATGCCACCAATGTCACCATGTACTGATTCCCTCCTTCCTGCCTATGCAACTGTTATATTTGGCATTTGACTTAAGAGATCTGCACTTCGTTCATTGATCATTGCTCTCTTGAGTGCCTCCCTGTTGGGCTCCAATAGCCTACAGTGGCGTTAAAATGTAATATGCCCATCGTAGAGGTCACTTTTTTCAGTAGACTACCACTTTTGACTTCCTACAAAGTGGCCCTCAATGCGTTATCGTTCCGAGATGGACGATGACAGTGATTGGCCGAGTTGAAACCTGTACAGGATTGTTAGTCACAACCACCTAAAGCTGGGCTGTCCGATTACTTGAGCAATCGATTACTCTACCAACGATCGGTTGGATTACTTAACTCATCCGATAACGCAAAACTAGTTGGAAAAACAAGCCTCACACGTGTGTGAGCACGTGTGCCGCTGGGCGGGAGGCAATGGGCTGAGCTCGTTGTCGTCATCGGCACCACCAGGCGGGTCAACGCTGGATGTGGCTTTCCGGAGGTTTCACGTCTTCGAGGAGAATGGATGTTGGGATGAGGAGCGTTTTTCAAGTGGAACCAAATAATCCACGCCAACAAAAAAATGTAATGGAACAAAAATGTTTGGTTAATTCATCGACTCACATTGCCAGCTCCAGCTACCTTCCGTACGTGGGTCGCACACTTTGACCGATGCGCTGCCCGAGCATATCGTGCCATGAACACGTGGAGGTGTTGATGGCGAGGCCGTGCTGTGGGCGGTGTGTGCAGGCAGTCTGTCGGCGCTCGTTAACCAGCACACGGTGACGCCACTCGCACTGCCTGGATGTCTGCGGCTGCCCGACCGTGACTTCGACGACCCGGGTGACCTCACCAAGGCCCATGACCTATGCGACGCTCGCACAGGCAGCCCTACTGGCTCCTCACAGCCACCCGAGGCCGGTCAGTGACGATGTTGATGATTACTGTGATCACAGTCAGGTCTATTGATGATCCAGCATGCAGTAGTTGACTTCAGTCACTCTCTCACTGCCAGCCATTTGCTTCCGTAATGCCTTTCCGTTGGAACCAACATGGTTACCTTTCCAGCTCACTCTTCGATCACTCCATCCACGTTGAGGCCCCGGTCAACCAGACACTGACTAAATTTCGATTTAAAGCTTTCGTGACTGCAGGGATTCATCTTCTTGTTTCTTTCGGTAAAGTCACGTAGAAGGGAAGTAATAAAATAATAAAAATAAAAATAAAACATAATAAAACAATTTATTACTTCCCTTCTACGTGACTTTACCGAAAGAAACAAGAAGACAGACACTGACTGTTTGTCTCATCCACACTGTGCTCAGAGCAACACATTCACTCACCTACACGCTCACTCACTTACTCAACCATTCACTCACCTACTTAGTCACCTATTCGCTCACCCACTGACTCATTCACTCACCCACTGACTCCCTCAATCACCCACTCACTCACCCACTCACTCATCTACTCACCCACCAACTCCCTCAATTCACCCCACTCACTCACCTACACCCACTCACTTCACCTCACCCACTCACTCATTCACTCACCCACTGACTCCCTCAATCACCCACCCACTCACTCAATCACCGACTCACTCATTCACTCACCCACTGACTCCCTCAATCACCCACTCACCAACTCTTTCACTCACCCACTGACTCCCTAAATCACCCACTCACTCACCCACTCATTCACTCACCCACCGACCGCCTCAATCACCCACTCACTCACCCACTCACTCATTCACTCACCCACTGACTCCCTCAATCACCCACTCACCAACTCATTCACTCACCCACTGACTCCCTAAATCACCCACTCACTCACCCACTCATTCACTCACCCACCGACCCCCTCAATCACCCACTCACTCACCCACTCATTCACTCACCCACTGACTCCCTCAATCACCTACTCACTCATCCACCCACTCATTCATTCACCAACTGAGTCCCTCAATCACCCACCCACTCACTCACCCACTCACTCATTCATTCACCGACTGACTCCCTCAATCACCTACCCACTCACTCTGATGCTGCTGATTTCTCTTTTAACCAGTGGGTACCGCATTCTTCCTCGATTCCGTGGAGATGGAGTCTCTCACGGGACCCCAGGCGGTCGCCCGGGCAACTGCGGTGATCATGGGCATGGCTGTGAGGCCCATGCCGGTTCACGTGCACCTGAGAGTGACCGAACAAGGGATCACGCTCACCGACATCCACAGGAAGTGAGCACACGCCCAACAGGGACACAGAGAACTTAATGGTCTTGGAACTAAGATGCTTTGTTGCTGGCTGATGTTTCATTTGTTTGGACCCACCTCCTGTGGTGATTTGACTGGCGTCGAGGTGAGGCCAGCTAGGCAATGTTACAGAGGCTGTCAGATTGGCCACCCAGAGTCAAATGACTTGAGGGATTGCTGGTCACGTGTTCGTGCTTCTTTGTGATTGGTCACCAGTCGGTGCACTGGTTAGAAAAAAAGAAGACAAAAAATACCCGATTGAAGATGCGCGGGCTGTTTACACTGCTTCTGTTTATGCTCAGCAGCAGCTGAGATTGGGGCAACCCTGGAAATGTGTAATTTCCGCGACTGGCTTAGGACCCGCAGAGGGGAGATGAGCACCACTTCGTGCCTCTTTGAGCAGATAACCAATTTGACACTTCAGCCGACTTTCAATAGCAAGCAGTCATCGACATACGAACGGCGGGTTAGCTTCCTGAGACCCGTTCGTAAGTCGGTTTGTTCGTATCTCGAGACTCAATATTTTATTGTACATACGGTCAGTGTTATAAAATGTGTTTTGGTTCAACAAAAAACTGAATCATTGTTAAACTCATAAATAAGAAGAAATATTGTACGATTGCATTTAAGACTGTTATAAATGTTGCATAGTAATTAAAACATAAAATAAAGTCACGTGAAAAGAAAACTAAAATAACTTATATTTTTACTTACCTTGAGTTGAATGGTTCACTCTCATTGTGCATCACACGGGATGCTGGGATTCTTCACATCTCACGGAGGATCGCTCCGCCGATCAAATTAGTTCCGCGGTTCGATTCGTACTTACTACCCAACGTTTGCCACCCGGATGGTTACAAATAAAAACATGGCGGTTCGTTCGTAAGCGCGGATATTCTTAAGTCGGGCGTTCGTATCGCAGGGCACTGCCTGTGTGACCCGTGAATCGGTTAACGACGATGGATATTTTTCGATTTAAAGCTTTCGTGACTGCAGGGATTCATCTTCTTGGTTCTTTCGGTAAAGTCACGTAAAAGGGAAGTAATAAAATAATAAAAATAAAACAAAATAACATAATTCTCACGACGTTTCGGCTACAACGTCGTGAGAATTCTTTTATTATATATATATTTTATTACTTCCCTTCTACGTGACTTTACCGAAAGAACCAAGAAGACGATGGACATTCCTATCCAACACCGACAGTTGCTATGGAAGGTATCGGACGGCTGTTGTGCGCGTCGGCATAGGATGAAAGCAGCCACGACAAGTCGGTAACGCGTGGAGTTGCCGCGGAATCGCATGTGCTGATTTGTCTCTGGTGTAGCAGCTGTTATGACGCTTTGTTGTTCGATATTGCCCCAGGCGCTTCTTTAGGCGCCACTATCCAGCTGAATCCATAAGCTTCTGTGCCATGGTTCCTGATGTCACAAGGTGCGTTTTTACACTGCACACATAAGTCATTGTTTGGTTAAGCATGTACGTGCAATGTGCATGCATTTGCACGTGTATTGTGTGTCTGTAAAAATATGTATGCGTGTCTATGTCACGCATACATATTGGGGCGTCATGGTGGCGAGATGTTAACTACCTCGCCTAGTATGCAGGAGGTCGTTGGTTTGATACCAACTCTGACGATTGCTGTATATTTGTAGTTTTCCTGTTCTCCCCGTGATCAGGTGGATTTTTATCCGGGTCCTCCGGTTTTTCCCTCCACATTTATAATCAACGTGCATTTAGAGTATTTGGCTAGCTATAAATGTCCATGTTGATAAGCCACTTCGTTGAGCTATCATCTGTGCCCAGGTCGCTTCTGAAAAAGAGTTGTATAGATCAGTGAGCCTTTTCTGGTAAAATAAAAACCTTTGTTTAGTTTTAGTTCAATAGTTATGTATGTGTTGTGCGCGGGGAGCGGTAGTCTAGCGGTTACCGCTTTGCGCTACGAACCTGGCGACCGAGTTCGATTCCCGTTCATGGCCAGCACCAGTGACGATTATCTGAACCGGTTCTGGGCCTACCTTAGGTCGACTCAGCCTCAAATGAGTACCTGGTGTGGTGAGTAAACATCACCACTGGGGAGTGGTACTGACCACGCACCCCTTTGGGTGCCGTGTCAGCCGTCATAGGTGCTCGCTAAAAGCACTTGCCCAACAATATGTTCAGGCTATATGGGGAATATTAGTCTTGCAATGGCATGAGGGTTGAAACAAAATCAGGATGACTTTGTGGGAAGTCAAGACTGGTTGTCCTCCAGTCACACTGGCACTTGCCATCGAAATGTGTAATTGCATCACAGGCTCAGAGCTGTCGATTTAGATGAATGATGATCGATATTCCTTTGAGCAGGGAGACTGAACGAGGTTTCTATCTCAACGAACTGGCAAAAGCGCATCGCATCAATGATTTTCTCCTTTGTTGATGGAGACATTTAAAAGTAACATGGACCTAATGAAAATTAACATTCTTGCAGAGGCTCATGGATATTTATAAATACGAGAATGCATTCTTTATATCTGTATATTATTTTACGTCAATGCAGCGTATATACAACGCCTGTAAATGCGTTATCAAATTAGAATAATTTCACGTGCAGAAGCCTTAAATCGTTTTCGTTTAATGTGTCCTTGTTTGAAGGTGGCCCATGGCTGAAGACAAGCCTGCGGCAAAGTAAGTACCCTTGCTCACAGTTTTGACACATCATACCAGACCGGTGGTTTTCGACCATACTGGTATGACGCCCCCCCCAAGTACTGTAAGCACTCGGGAGACAAAGCTGGCCGGGCGTGGTGTTGGTCACACACCCCCTCATGCGCTGTGCCAGCTTTCGTGGGTGCTCGCTAACAGCACATGCCGTTCAAGGCTAAACGGGGGAATGTTTGTCTTTGTGACTTGTGCAGGATGTTCGGCCTCGTGGCTCGCGAGGCCGGCAGCGACTCGCACAACGTTTGCCACCTCTTCGCCGAGGAGGCCGACTCCCTGGGACATCGGGCCGAGAGCTGGGTCCAAGCGGCATCGCAGATCCTTCACCTGTGCTCCAGGCCTCATTGATGTCCAACGGAGGACACGCGAGGAGGCCGCCTTTCAAGCTGGATGGCAGCAAAGCCAAACATGACAAAACTACTAAGTGCCTTGAGCCTTAATTCCACTTTCTTAACTTCCACAGGATTCCATTACAGTGACCTCCGTTCACTTTCACAGAGATACGTTTCAGAAATCTCCGGTTTTACAGAGCTATATTTATGGAACTGCCTTTCATATTCTACAGAGATTTATTAAAAAGGTAAAAATGTACGTCCATTCACTTGTATAACGAAGATTATTCTGTGGACATCGCTTTTACATGTTTGACATGTGCACGGTGTAACTTTCGTAGATGCGTTTGAAAGCGAATGAAGGCTGATGAAGGCACAGCCATTGTTTGTAGCTTTGCGCTTATTTGCTTTAAATTGCCAACCTCTATTGACTCTGGTCCGTGAAAACCCAGCTTGATGAACCCAAAGGCTGTCGAAGTTGGCACACATTTGCCATGCTGTACAATGACGTGGAATCAAGTATTATT